CCTCAGTGCGATGATTGAATCTGGAAGTACTCGAGATTACCAGGAACAGCCGTGGACGATTGTAACTGGTGGTGACATCGATATCCGCCATGCAAGTTTCTCCTCGAAGATTTCTCACGTAGAAACAACTGCCTCAAGCGATGGAGGTTGGAATGGTAATGTCACCACAAGGCATGGTAATGTGTCGAGAAGTTCGAATGAGCTCGGGGATTCTAGAAACTCAATGGACGAACCGCGTTCCATACAGGAAGGTAGGAAGCAATACATCACTGAGTATTCATGGCCTGCAAGTCAGGAAGTTAATTCTGATTTACTAGCTTCGATTCGGATGATCCTTCTGGGTGCGTCTGTGTCGATTTTCGATGACAACTTCTCAAATGACAAAGGGGTAATGCGTGTGAAGCCCACGGATGACTATTTGCTACAAATCGAACCCGCCAGCTCGCGTCATCCGGGCTGGGTAATTACGAGGAAATACGCTGATTTCGAAGTTCTCCATGAAGTTTTACGACGCATTTCGGTTGTTTCAGGGGTATCTGATTTTGTAGAACAACACAGAGAACTGCCAACCTGGAAAGGTCAGTACCAGTCAGACCTACGGCAAAGCCTTGAGCGCTACCTTCAGCATGCCCTACGCTTCGAGCGGCTCGCTGGATGCGAGGCTATGAAAAGGTTTTTAGAAAAAGAGCGAAGTGTTGCGACATCGTCCCCGAATGGGATCGGGAAGAGCGGATTTTCATTTCCGAGCCAGGCGGTGTTTGAAAATATGGGCAAGGGGGTACTGGAAGTCCTAAGCAGTGCTCCTAAAGGGGTAGCAGGGGGTGGTAAGGCTGTCCTTGAAGGTGTCACTGGAGTGTTTGGAGCGGGCAGTAGTGTTAAGAAACGTTCGGTTGACTTTGCCCTCAGGGACAAGGTAGACCCGAAGTTGAGAATGCCCCCTAACGGGTTCTTCAATAATAAAGTTGCAATCAGTCAGAACAGTGATGGGACGGCAGAGACGGCTTCCCCTTCGCGTCCAGACACGGAGCACTATATTCCTCTTGGCTCTGGCTCGATTGAAAATGCGTTCGAAAAACCTCTAACTTATGTTACACACGAGGATGCGGAGGGAAACGAAGAGGAGCAATCGGTCTTCAAGAGACCAGTCGCGGATCGGTTATCTCCTTCTCTTTCTCCTGAACACGTGGGCCAGAACCAAGAGAACGGACCCGTCACTAGTAAAAACCGCCTGCAAGAAGTCGAGCCCGTATCAACCGGTCTAGCCGGTCAAGTAACAGGCTTTAACGGCAATACGGCTGTCCAGCCTGAATCAGACTTCGAATCTTTGAACTCTCACCTTAACCCTTACTCAACCGAAGTGAGGGTTATGCCTCTCTCCGAGGAAGAGACTGGTGTCGCAGTTGAACTACTATTTGCTGTCATTAACGAACTATATGCCTTGTCCTCTGCCTGGGGAATTAGAAAAAAACTGTTGAATGCAGCGAGATCGTTTTTGCTCCGACCTGGGAATCCAAATATTGAAGGTATTCGTCTCCTGATGCAGCAATCAATTATTGAATCCAATGCCTCTGATGATGCCCTTGCGACGTACATCACTGCCCTACGTCAAAATGCACTGCCAACTGAAGATGAACTCAAATCGATCCCCCCTCCCTTGACTGATGATGAACAGATGGAGCTTCGGATCAAGGCTCGAAAGTTGCTAGTGACATGAGGCATGCCGCAGGCTCTGACGAGCATCATGGGCAACGCTGCAACTACAGAGGCTCTTGGACATGTTTTTGATTCTCTTCAGGTCAAATCTGTGGCAAGAGGATTTATTTTTGCTTTACTGCTTCAGGCATTAAAGGCCATGATTCAATAGATAGATATAGATTAAGATCTTGAATACTGTACTTTGAGTTTTTATTCATGAAAATTCGAAGGTTGGGATTTCAAATTGTTGTATAGTACCCTAATAAATTAAGATAAATTTGGCGAGCTATTGTGCTGCTGCAACGAGTTTCTCTATCTCTTCCGGAATTTTCGGAGCTGCTGTTAGGTTGTCGTGACCGTTTTGTGTGACGACAACATTGTCTTCAATGCGTACGCCACCTACATTCCAGTATCGTTCGAGTACGTTGGTATCTATATACTTTCCCAATTCTGGAGAAGCGAGATAGGGATCGATGATAAAACGGCAAAAGTAGATCTATTGGATATGTATTAGTTTTAATGGAAGAAGTTGCGAACGGAACGAAAGAGTGCGTATGTACTCCAATTTGGGGTGATGGATAACTTACACCTGGTTCAACTGTCACAACGGCACCGCATGCTAAAATGCCCCTCAAGCGCAAATATTTAAACTTTGGGTTTTCATCCTCGTAGTTTGGATTGCCTCCAGTATCGTGGGTGTCCATACCAAGGTAATGTCCTACGCCGTGAGGGAAAAAGGCAACGCTGATCCCTTTGTCAAACAGTTCTTCCTCCGTGCCACGCAGAATACCAAGTTTGAGCAGTCCGCGGGATGGCGACACGGTGAGAGTTCGAGTGTACATCTTCCCACATTACGCCCGCTCTAATCATTGCCAATGACGTCATCTGCATATCCAGCACAATATCGTATATCTGTCGGGATTCCGCAGAAAACATTCCCGAGAGCGGGACCACCCTCGTGATATCTGCGCAGTAGGTCCGGTACTCTCCACCGGCATCAACTAACATGTTCAACCTCTTCTCTCCAGTAGTTTTGTCCACTAAATCTTTGTTGTTCTTTTGGTAGTGCAATGTCGCAGCGTTTGTTCCACTAGCAAAGATTGGATGGTATGACTGCTCTCGACAACCGTAAGACATGCAAGTCGCGATGAAAATGGCCTCCAATTCTCGCTCGTTCGCGGCAGATCTGGCCGCCTTGATAACCGCTATATGTGCTTTGGTAGATATCTCATTCGCGCGACGGAGAAGAGCAATTTCATAAGTGTCTTTAACAACACGAGACTCCTCAGCAGCTCGTTTCAAAACATCAAAGTCTGTCTCTAGGAACGGCAAAAAAGTTATGTGCGGAGAAACTTGGTCAGCTATTGCGAATACCTTTTTACCCTTCTTCACTGAGCAGAAATGTGCCAAACTAGTATTGACATCTGTGGTCAAAAGGACGGCATCTACATCGTACATCTCCAATGCCTCATCGGGCGAAAGCGGTAGCCCCGACCAGATGACGGAATCTTCGTCAATAGGAGGAATGAAAAGGGTTAGGTGGTCCTCTTCGATGTTATATGTGAGATAAGAATCAGGGAGAGGACATCCTGAGAGGTAGAAGAAGTTGCGTCTCTGGCTGTGGGGAAGAACAATCGATACTTTAGCAAATTATGGAGGATTTAAAATATCCACAGGTGTGTTGACTTACCGGAACGGTACTGATCCATCATTGTCCTCTATCATCTGCGTTTTCTGGGCCTTCGAGATAAATGACGCTAGATTCCCTATACCCAAGCTCTCGAATGCGGGCGGGCCACGCGTTTTGCATGGGCCTTGGCAGGGTATTTTCCTGTAAGGACCCTATCAATAGATTCATCCATTTTGCAGCTTTTAAGGGGGTGGCTCGCAAGACCAATTGAAGCGCC